GTGGTGGTTCAGAGCCTCAGCACACTCATCACAGGGCTCCATCCTGGTGCTGACAGGGCTGGGCAGCAGTTCCTCTGTGCTAGGATCCACCTCTCACACTGCACAAACACTGCATGAGCTGCACAGCAAAACCACAAAGAAAGCACCAGGCGGCTGGCAGTGGGTGTTGTGCAGCTGATGGAGCCACATGAGCTCTAAGGGGCTCAGTCAAGTCTGCACAAAAAGGCAGCTGGGAGAGTCCAGCTGAGCCTCTGCAGAGAGGTCAGAGCTGGTGGGAACGGAACACCAGTGATGGTGTGATTATTCTGGAGCCCTCTATGGAGGAGACTGTGGGTCAGACTAAATCCAGTTTCAATGCAAGGCTTGTCTGTTAGTCTTATCTACCATGAGCCTCCAAAGGAGCAGGACCCAGGCAGCTGCTAAATCTCAGTGATCTATTGCACACATGGAAACTTCACTGGAAAAATAATTAATAATTGTCTGTATCCATGAGAAAGAAGCCAGTCTTGAATGGCAGAGGAAAAGAACAAGAGTAAGAAATGGTCTAGATGGGAGATGGTCATCAGAAAGCAACCTTAAATGGGTACTCAAAATTATCAAGAATATAGGGGTTTTGCTGGCCATTTTAAAGAAAGAGAAGAAATAAAATGTTTACACAGTAAACCTTCATACTTCAGAGGAGAAGGGATCCCAGACTTTTTAAGGAACACTGACCTAAGGCCAAAGTCATAGCAGAAATGTTTTGGTTCTGATGGTCTAAGGGTGTGAGAGCCAAGGTTCATGGGAATAGATATGAATCTTTTATTAAGCCAACTGATACAACAGAAAATAACAATAAAAAAGAAGAACTCAGAGAGGGTTTGTACACCTAAAATTAATTCTTTCTCCCCCTTCCAACAATATCGTGTGTTCTATTAAATGATATTACTTCTTCCTGCAAATGTTGTTTCTCCCAGATCCGAACAATGCTCCAGACTGGTGAGGACACAAAAGCAGGGAGCATTTTTTGTCATTATGTTTATCTCTGAATTGCTAGAAATTAAAAACATTTTAAAAAAAAATCCATAGTTTTTTTTTTGTTTGGTTGGTTTTTTTTGTTTTTTTTTAAAGCAGGTGTGTTCTGCATGATGAAATGACCAGGGGAACACTCAGGCCTGACCTCTGTGAGAGGATGAAGCTAAATCCCTACAAGGTTTCAAGCCCAGCCCAGCCCAAGATTTGGAGCAGGATGCCAGAAGAGTAGGACAGAGGAAATATGGACAGAGGGATATCTTCATGAGGTTTCATGTCTACATAAATCTTTCCTCTATTTGGCAAGTGGCCTGATGTCCCACCCATGTCAGGACATCACCTTGGGAGTTTAAGGAGTCTTGACTACAGTTTAAGATTGTGCTCTCATTTAAAGATGAAGAAATACTGCCCTTTTCTTGGACAGCTGCCACGTGATTTTGTTTTGGAACCGAATTACACATTTTGGGGGAAAAATGGAAAATTATCTTGGTATTACTGGAGCTTGGGTGGGTCCAGAGCCACAGCCAGGCTCTTGGAGCAACCAGACCTCAGTGTGCAGGGTGAAAGAGCAGCTGGGAATTCTCATTTCAGCCCTGGTGATGCCCCCAGCTCTGACACTCCCCCACAGCCACCCTGGCATCCTCCAGGACAGCACTGGGCAGGCACCCTGTGCCTCACTTGCTGCAGTCTCCGTGCCACCCTCAGCTTTGCTGAGGCACAATGTCCCTGACCTGCAGCGTCCCACCACCTGCTGTCACAGTCCTGAGTCATACCTAAAAAAAATCGCCTACTCACACAGTTTTTTTAGAGAAAACAACAAGGAAAATGAAATCCGCCCAAACCTTTCCTCTCCAGTGTGGATATATTCCGTCCTGCCTTCCCACAGAGACCCACACCAAAGATTGCACAGCACATTACACAACACAGCACAGAAATGCTTCTTCAGCAGCCACGCCTTCCCTCTTCACACAGAAGCTGGGCTACTTCTCCCTGTCTCCCCAGATCCTCCACTTTCCTCCACTTTCCACTCAGATGCTGTTCCACCTCTCCCCACCACTTCCACCTCCACAACCATTTTCTGTCCATCCTGTCTTCTTGAAAGGAGGTTAAAAAGCAACAGCTGACGGGATCCCTCTGTGATGCAGTAGGAAAAGGATGCATCTGTCTTCAGGCAGAGCACGGGGAACTTGCAGAGAGGGGGAACAAGCCTCTCTGCTGTTTTTGTTTGTTTTCTGTATCCAAATGTGTAACAGAAAATTATGCAGTTCACCTTTGTTAAAGCAGTTTTGCATCCCACAAATGCAGGAGCCAGATGGTGTACTTTCTTTGTCTTAAAAGATTAAAAAATGGGAAAGAAAGGAAATGGCTAGGAACTAATCCTCAGCCTGGAACACAGTAATATATCCACATACCCAGTTATCCAGGCTTGCAGGGGCTGGGCAGGAGCAAACATGGGGACCCAGCAGACTGAAGAGAGTCTGCTTGCAGAGCTAGAGCTTGGGGGTGGGATTTCTCCCTGTGTTTCCAGAAGATGACAAATTACAGCTTCTCCCAGGGCTCTATCTTGGACACACCAAGCAATATTTTCTAGAGCTGAAGCAGAACTTTGCTCCAGGTCCCACTGCTGGCAATGGTGGACTGTCTAAAGGGGAAAGCTGCAATGCACAAACACTGGGAAACAGACTTGGAAAATTCACCAGCCAGATCATAGATGTGACCAGGCACAGCTCTGAAGACACTGAAAGTTCAACTCTTCAGCCAAATCTCCAGCTTTCATAGCTGAGACCAAGGAGCAGTTTGGTTTTCCCATTTGAGTTTCTTTGCTCATATTCTGGGAGGAGTGTGGTTGGACTGTGGCTGGAGGAGGCATGAAGGACACCTGGCCCCTGGAATTCTGCTCTTTGCTGGCTTGGGAAGGCTTCCCAGCTTTGTCACCAATTCCTGCTGTGGCCTTGGACAAGTGATGTAAACCATCTGCCCCTCATGCCACCAGTTTAAATATGGGCAATCAGAATCTTATTTTGCTAGAAACCTTCTTTGGACTTTAACAGAGATAAAGCCTCCATGAATGTACTTCATGATCAAAAGTTTTAAACATAATTTTATTATTATTAATGTTAATAATAAAATTATTATTATTATTATTATTATTATTATTATTATTATTATTATTATTATTATTATTATTATTATTATTATTATTATTATTATTAAAAATAAGTGAAAACAAAGAAAGGCAAATCAACTAAGAACAAAAAGCTGTGATGGTCTGAAACTCAGCTCTTGCTCTGGTAAGTAGGTGATAACTGCTCACTACTTAGTCATACTGGCAATTTGTGTATGCAGAGAAATGTTCACTAAAGAGCCTTAGGACACTGCATGAGACAGCACGGAGCAGTCCTCAGCAAAGCACTTGGCACAGACAGGATGAGGGCTACAGGACACCACCACAGAGAAGACAAAAAATCCCACGACAATAAACTGGCCTGTGGAGATCATCTCAGCCCTCCCAGCTGTGGCAACAGCCAGCAATTCTTCCCCTTGCACAGAGAGCTCTTGGTGCTGCAGGAGCTCGGCTGGGATTGTGTCCAGCAGTGTGACACTGCCTGTGGTTGGGGCAGGATTAACAGGGCTGAAGGCAAGAAGGCAGGCAAGAACTTGGGTAACCACATGTGCTGCTTCTCATCCTCCCCTGGGCTCCTCTCTTTCCTACTCGTTCCTTCCTGAAGTTTCAGCAATTATGGGACCACATCATCTTTCTTTCCTCATCACTGCCCAGTAACTGCACTGAGACCTTTTCCCAGCATGGGCTTTTCTGCTGCCCAGTGAAGATTGGTTCCCTCATTTAAAACCAGTGGCAATCCAGTGTTCTGGCCTGGGAGAGGTCATATGTCTCAGCACAAATCTGACCATGTTTCCCTCCTCCCCAGCACAGTAACTGCACTTGGCAGCTATCAATAATGAAAACTTCCTGAATCAGATCAAAACAATAGGCCACCCCTTCCTGGGTAGCTGGGAGAAATCATCCTCAAAGCCAAATATACATATTGTAAGCAGAAATAAATCAGCCCCAGTGCAAGCATCAGGCTAGCAACCATGTCTCCCCTAGTCTGAGAAGTCCTTCCCTGCTGGTGGATGGTCCAGAGACAAACTCCAGTGTGCTCCAAACACTTCTCACATCACATTTCTCATGTAGCTGGGAAAGGACACACGCTGTTCCCCCAGGGATGCTGCCATCAGGCAGGCAGGACAGTGCAGACAGGTACAGAGGGAGTGTGCAAGACAAGGGAACAGTGTGAGCACGAATCACAGGAGAAAAGGCTGGAAAAGCATTCCTGGCTCATTGAGTCTCTCCCCAGAGATGAGTACAGGATTAGCCTCTACACTAAACCCAGGCATTTTTATCTAGTTGCTTCCTGAACTTCTTTAATGACAGGCTCTCAGCAACCTACCCTGGCAAATTATTCCATTGTTTAAATGATGACCCTGTTGGGAGAAAAAAATGTTCTGAGGTCAAACCTAAATTGACTATTATTCTTCCATATTTTATGCACTTATCAGTCAGTCTTTCAGTTGCTTTCTCTCTAGGTCCCTGTATTAAGTTTCTTTAGTCTAAAACCAGAGGTCACAGCCTATAGTATTTTTCATCTCTACTTATCATCATTACCTTTAATTTGTCAATGTCTTCAAAAAACAAGGAATAAAAATAGGCAGTAAGGATGGAATGATTTCAGAGCCATCCAAAAGCATGTGACTGTGTGCTGGAGTATCACAGAGTCTGTGTGTAGGCATCTGCATGGGTGTCTGAACTACAAGCATGGCCAGGACTGAACAGGATTAAGGACAGTGGTTTAGGGATGCTTGATCAACTTCTGTGCACATGTTTCAATGAGGTAATAACCAAGCAAGTGAGTCCAAAAACTCATTTAACGTAACATTTCCTATCTCCCTGTGCTCTGAGTATTTAGAGTACCACTGAACTGCCTTACCCTGTAGTAATCAGTGCTGTAGACATCTCTTGACATCCCAAAGTCTCCAATCTTCACCAGCAGGTTGGCTCCGACCAAGCAGTTCCTGGTAGCCAGGTCTCTGTGGACAAAGTGCTGGGAGGCAAGGTACACCATTCCAGAGGCGATCTGGCTAGCAATGTGGAGCATCTGGGATAGCCCTAGCTCCCCTTTGGCTTGTCGAGGCTGCCCATCCACGAGGATCATAGCATCTGGGCCGTGTGCCCTATAGGGAGGGAAAAGCAAAAAGCACAGAGTTGGGTCTCAGAAGTGACCAAGAGACAGGAATCCCACACAGTCACTGTTCTTGCTGGATGGGGACCAGCCCCAGCTCTGCACTGTGAGGATGGACACAGAGCTCCAGTGGAAAGGAAGAAAGGCTTAAGGAAAAACAGGAGGTTGATGGAACATTTGCTGGGTGAGTGGGTGCCATATATCCTTATCCTGTTCAGAGATAGAGACAGACTGCCAGGACAGAGGGACCACTGGCTTCAGGCAGCCTGGACACTCTTCTCTGGCAAGACCTTTGCAAAGCTAATGAGCCCTCAGATATTTACATTTGCTCCAGTTAATTTTCTCTACCCAAAGGCAGAGATATTTTCTTCCAAATTTCTTCCCTTCCCTTTTCTTCCAAAGCTGCCACATTTCTACTACCTAATCTCAATACCAAACAGCCTCCTCTCTTTTCCCCACATCACCAACAAGCCACCCCCTGATCAATACCAATACAAGAGATCACAAAAAATGTTTCAGAGGAACATTAGCAGCTTCATCCCTGTAAAATCTCTTTATGTCTTGAGCTGTCCCAGAGGTAACACAGGTATTGTGAATGTGACAGCACGAGCACAGGTGCAAAGTTTAGCCCTGGATGTCAGTAGGTGCAAAGAACACCCTGGGCAACAAAAGGAAATATTTTGATGAACCAAGTGCATGCAGGACTTTAGGTCAGCCTTATTCCTGTCCTGTCCCTTTTTTGTCCTCTTCTTTGCTGTGTGCCAAATGTTTCTGTCTTGCTCTCTCTGTGATGCTTCTTCCCCTGGCAGAGCTCACCCTGTGGTAACCTGTGTGAAGGTGGAATAACAAAAGGCATCATATTTAGGGAAATGTAAGAGATGTTGCTATGACCTTCCTCCTCATGACTAACACATGGCACAGCAAGTCCTCTGAGGTTTTCATACTGTTCTCTTTGAGATGATGCTTGGTGTGTCCTATATAGTACACATCTTTCTCTCCCTTCTTCTCTCCTTTTCTCTATCCCAAATGGTTAAAATCCGGAAGAAAGAAGAATCATCACATTTATGAGATGGACATAGGATATTAGGATAGGAAGGATATTAGCACATTTAGTTATGCCAAGAAGGCTATAGAGAATATGAGAAGGGTATGCCCATCTTTCCTTGGGGAAAGGAGTTTAAACGGAGAGGCCATAAAATTGGGTGGATTCCCTGTTAAAGAACAATTGGAGTCTTTCTCCATTATGAATTGATGGAGGCTTTGGGGGAAAAAAGTCACCATTCTGGCTTCCTCTTCTGAAATTCCTCTTCTGTCCCATGACAGTCTGACTGTGGTGCTGCTTCATAGGAAAGTGAACAGCAGAACTCTGCAAGTTTTCTAACAAAAACTTACCTGTCTGAGCTAACAGCAAATGGCAACAACTCACAACACACTGCAGACCCATTATATTGGCAATGCACTGTTATCCCTACTTCAAAACTATTGCTGACCCAGAAAGGAAAGAAAAGCTGGAAAACCAGTAACCAAAGGAAAAGGGGGAAGTGATGGACACCCTTAGTGAGCAGAGAGGGATGTGGTCACTGCAGGCCCCAAGGCAGTGGGGGGTTGTGCCAGGAACACCCAGCCTTGCCCCCCACCCAACCTGCAGGCAGACTCCCATGCACACCATTCCTAGGGATGCTCCCTGGAAGGTCATGCCTGTATTTCTCCATGCCAAGACCTTTGCTATCAGTGTTTTCTGAGACAAGACACCACCACTGCAGCCTGCCCTGGTGCAGATAGCAGGGTCTGTTGTGGCACCACCAGTGTGGTGGCCCTAGGAGGCATGAGGAGCCATCCCAGCACATGCCACCACTAACCCAGCTGCTACGTGCTGATCCTGGTGCTTCCCTTTGCCACACCAGCTAGTGTTTCAGTCCACTAAAACTCTCTGTTCTCTGGGAAGCATACAAAGGTCTAACAACACTGAGGGGAATTTATTTATTGTGCTTTTCTCTAGGAAACTGGATCTAAAGTGAGCCTCTTCCATTTTACTGCTTTTCCAATTTCTGCAGTTAAACAAGGAAAAGTCCATCTGAGTGTCTTACAGACTCCCTGTGTCCCTGCCCTCCAGTGTCTGGGAGTCACTGTCTCCTGCTGTGAGCTGAGTGAATTGTTTCATGATTAAAACTGCTACTTACTGAGGGATTCCAAGCAGCTCTGCATCATCAACCCTTCCTGACCCCCTTGCAGCCCCCATTCTCCACCAGCAGATGCCTTACCCAACAAAGCCCAAACTCTATTTCCATATGACCCCTTAGGCATTTTGAGTGCCTCTTTGCAGGGTCTAAGCTCCCTTGTCCCCAAAGCCATCTTCCTTTGGGACACAAAGGGTATTTTCACTGCCTACCACAGGCAGGGAAAGGAGCACATAGCTGCATTTTCCAAGGCTGCACTGGAAGGAGAAGCTGGCAGCTAAACACAGCTGGAAGATGAGAAGCTGCAGTCCCAGGGACCACACACCTGGAAAAGTTTCTTTTCCTTCATAAAGGCCAAAGATAATACAACGAGCTTTCTTTTCCATTGAGACTGGAGATTAATTTCATCAGGCATGAGTGTTTCTCAGACGTGTCCCAAGAATGGGTTGGGACATGGGAGTGAAGAGTCCATGGCTCCAGCATGATACCAGCCTTAGGAACACATTGCTGAGTGAAGCAATTCCATCAGGAATTGGCAGTAGGCACAAGACATTTTTCCGAGACACTGAGAGAGCCTGTTCTGTGCTACACTCTTTGGGAGGTCAACTGGAGCAGTGAGAGAGGTTGTTCCTCAGCTGTAATATCTGACTCCTCTAAGGGAATAAGGTTGCTGGCTCTGCCAGGAAAAAGGATAGGTCAATTTTGAGTTCTTCTTTGTGAAGCACTTGAAGAATAGCGACTCTCACCTTCTTTTTCAGACTGCCTGCCTTTGGTCACAAGGCTGAGGCATTGTCCTTAACACTGCATCACCAATCTGGGCTAAAACACCCTTTCAGCACAGCTCATGGTTTCATGCTGGTGACAGAGTTCAATCTGCTGCTGCTGGGAGTTTGCTGAGCCCTCCAGGTACCACAAAACAGGGTCCCAGGTAACCAAGGATGCTCCCCCTTGAATGTGGGTCTGAGGAGCTCTGTAAATCCAACAGCCTTCACTTGTCCTACCTTGACAAAGATGTCTTGGATCTATCCAGAACTTGAGACAGGGACTGAGCTATAAAATCCTATTCAATCTACCCACAACTATAGCAAAATGAGGGTGAAAATCAATGCAGGAATGTTCCCAGCTCACCCACTGCCCTGCGAATGCCCTAAAGAAGCTGGAGACAGGTTGGCACTACTTGGGAGAGGAAAGAAGAAATCTTAAGGATCCTTCCTTATATTCTTGTGTGGGTGATTGCTTAGAAGTGAAAACCTCAGGGAAAAACTTGTGTTTCCTGGTCAGAAACTGTGTTGGTAGAAAAAACTCAGTGATCTAGATCTAGACTTGCCATGCACAAGATTCTTGCTCCTCCTGCAATCATATTCACACTTAGCAGTCAAAACAGGAAAATATCAAGGGTCCAATTTTCTAAATATTGGAAAATAAAACTACTAATTATTTCAAGAGGTAAGTACCACTCCACTTGCACGCAGGTTTCAGAGTGGAATTTCTGTTTTGTGGCAGAAGAGAACCATAAACATCCTCCCACAGCTGCTCCCTGGCCCTTGCTGCTGGTGGATGCAGAGCACACAAATTATCTGCCTCAGGCTAATGAAATGGTTGAATGATGATGGGGGGCACTGGGGGCTCTGGCAATTTGCATCTCTCTAGAGACAGAGAAGGTAATTACAGCACTTCTTCAGGCCTTGCCTGACTTCATGAGTGGCCTGGTGCCACAGGTTAGGGACCAGGGGTCAGGGATGGACCCCACAGGCATTGCCTGAGCTCCTCCAACATTTCTCAGGTCTTTTCTGAATGCAGAAATGAGAACCAGTGACCAGTAAATGCCCAGGACACAAATCAGATCAAGAACACCAACAGATTTCTCAAAGGAAAGTTTTGTTCTTGTGCTGTTGAAGCAGGAGCTCAGTGGCTGAGGGGAGTGATGGCAAGTGGCCTTCCTGCTTCAGCAGGACATGGATTTTCTGGGCATGCAGGACTCGAAGCTGCTGACAGCTGTGGCTTCATGTCCTTCCATCCCCACAGGGCAGAGAAGGATCACAACCACACTTCCTGCAGCTTCAAACTTGCTGAGGTGGGAGAGGAAAACCCTGATTTCCACAGCTCCTGAGATTACCTAAGAGAAAATGTTGGGATAGGGCTATGAAAGCCCTAAATCCGGTGAGTACCATCATCTCCTCCAAGCTGCCCTTGGAACAACCATCTCTCACTACTCAGCCCACTGAATCATGACACCACTGCTGCACCACTGAGCTAGAACAAGTCTCACCGAGGCTGTGGGGCAGCCCCACAGCACCTCCCGTGCCCTCATTCCCACATACCTGAGGAATTTGTTGAGGTCCCCGTGCTTCATGTACTCGAAGACCATGATGAGCGGGTCGCCGTCTCCGCACACGCCGTAGAACTTGACGATGTGCTCGTGCTGCAGGTTGGTGAGCAGCTCTGCCTCCCGCTGGAAATCCTTGCGGGCTGCCAGCGTGGGGTCCTTCAGAGCCTGGAATAAGGGATGCAGAGCAGGCTTAGGCTGGGGAAAAGCCAGGACAAAGGGGTCACAGCATCTGTGAGCAGCTGATGAGGAAGGGAGGGAAGAGGGACCACTGGCCCAGGTGTGCTGGGAGGGCTGGTGGCACCAGGTTAGTTTGTCGTTCCTGTGGTTACTGTCCCAGTGGGTTCCCCAACTCATTTCCTAGGCAGCAGCAAACATGCCTCAGAGGGTAATAGCTTCCAATTATTCCCAGCTTGGGAAGAATTTATACTGGTGACCTAGGGGTGAATGGCTTCATATCTCATTATTATTAAATTCCTGAGCCAGGCAGTCCTTGCTATCTGTCTTTTATTTTGAAAGAGCTGACTACACTGCCTTTATTCAGAAGATGGATTTGCCTGGCTGTGCAGTTATTGTGTGGATTTTTCAAACTGCCTCTGAAGAAGGACACTGTCAAGTCTTTTCTCATAATTTTTAAAATCATGTTTTTATTCCCTGCTGTTTATAACAGCTCCCCTGGCAGACTGATGCTGAAATCAGTATCCTTATTGAGAATATCTCATCTCCCACAATTTGAAAATGCCACTTTCCATTGCAAGGCAGCTTGCAGGCTTCAGGTGGTGAGGACCAGCCCAACATTGCAGAGTTGCCATGAAGATGTTGCCGTGGCTGTAGCTGATGATAAGGCAGAGTTCTCCAAGGTTGGGTTCTGGCTTGTCTGTGGATTATTGTGCAGTTGCATTGGAGAGCTAGTTTGAAAGCAGCTTGTTGTCATCTCAGGGTATCAAGGGAGAACTTGATAAAAAAGTTGATAAAAAAGTCCAGACCATTTGGCAAGATGAAATGGCCTCAAGAATCAGCATAGTCTTTGCAAACATTTAAGAAAAATGAAGAGGCTTGTTTTGAGTTGTTGGTTCTGGATCATATTCTCTGCGTCCCCCACATGCCAGGACTGTTTAGGACCAATTCTGGCTTTAACTGTGCAACCCAACAGGAGCTGGAAAGGACTTAAGTTCATGAAAAGAACTCGAGAAAACTTATTCCACTTGTCCTGTGTTGGTCTGATGTGCACCAGTTCCCCTTTAGTGGTGGGGGACACTGGGCAGCTCTCCCCTTACCTACACACAAACACACCTGCCCCCTTTCCCCCTGCCTTGAATCTCCCCATGCAGACAGCAGAGGTGGCCTTAGCAGCTGCAGGCTGCAATTTATGTGCAAAAAGGGATGCTAAATATCAGAAAGCTGTGCATGGAGGATGGGGCCCAGCACTCTGTTACTGCACCTGGGCTGGCCCATGGCGCTGGTGCTCTAGAGACTCCTCCAGAGAAGGTGCTTTTCCCCTTGGAGCAGATTTGCTGTGAGGCTTTTCCCCAAGCCTTAGGACACTGCCTCATCTGATTCTGCCCCCAAAATGCTATTCACATGGCATAAATCTATTTTAATTCTTTGCCCTTTGGAATAGCTTGGCTAAAGATATTTAGATGAATGTTAGTTACATGGTGCAGATGGCAAAGCATCCATTCTTATCTCAGACACTCAATTACTTTTAGTCATTTAATACCTCCATAATGTTGATGCCACCCTATTTTTCTGCAGGAAAATAGTCCCTTCCCCCATCAGTCTTTTCTCCCCCTTTTTTCCTGTGATTGCACATAATATTTCAAGCTGCAGTGAGTTTAGGTTTCATCTCCTTCACACACAATCATTTTTATAAGGTGTTAAGATTGTAAGTTCATTGATATCACACACCAAAAATAAGTTATTAGCCCCCTCCCCATTACTAAGGTTGCACAGCCAAGCATTTAGAAATGAGGGGGCCGGAAGGGATAGAACAGGGAAAGAAGACCAGGACCAAAGAAAGAGAAGGGACATCTCAGTAAAATCAGTGGAATGCCTCTCCCAGGAAGGTTTGGGGTGGATTTTTTTTGAGCCTCCATCACACAATTCCTCCATAACTTCTGGCAAATCCCTGAGCATCTGCAGGTTGCAGCTGTCATCTTGAAGTGCCAGTTGTTCCAGTATTACCTGGAAAATCCCCTCTTATGCAGCATCAGGGCCAAGTCTCCACAAGTACCATGTGTTTATTGCTGCAGCAGGGCTCACTCTGAGTCAGGTACCTGCTGTCCACGGAGCTGGAAAGAGAGGTCAGTAACTCCATCCTTCACCTAAAGCAGATCTCTTCAGCTCAGTTTCCCAGCTTGTGCATCTGCCTTCTGCAAAAGGGGATGATACAATCCCAGTAACTTGCTGGGAGGCTGTGAAAACAGGTACACTCACTTCTAGAGATGTTCCAGCACAGGAGTGATCTCCACAATGGAGCAGCCATAGAGAAATGGAAAATAAGGTGTTCAGAGGACATGCCCTGAACACAGTCCCTCCAGCATTTCTCGTACTTGACTTTGTCACCTTAACGCTCTCCTGGATATAGTGTTTGTGCATTTCTTAGGATGCTTTTAGAAGCAAGCTGAATAAAACAGGAAACTTGTCCATGCCTTCACATCAAAACTCAGTTTATCTGCAGGGCTGCAACCTCTAGATCTGCTAAAAATCTGAGTCCATTTAAGCGAGCGAGTAACACAGCCCCTTCCTGTGGGCCTGGGAGAGAGTTCCTGAGAGCAGGGCAGAGGCAGGCTCTGGGCTGTGGACCCAGCTGCCCTTCACCAGGGTGTCCTGCTGCTGCCCTGAGCTGCAGTGACTGGGGAGGTAGTTCTCAGCCTCCCTTGGGGACATGAAATCTTCAGGAATTGCAGCCAAATCTCAACTTAGTATGTAAAGCCTTTATTCCTCTTTTTCTTTCCTTTTTTTTTTTCCTCAGATTTATAATGTGGCCCAAATTAGAGGGATGTTTTTCCCTGCCACTCCCAGAGCTGGCAAGAAGCCAGATTCCAGGGCCCTGCTCCAGAGCTGGAGCTGTGTGATCTTGCAGGATGAAAGGCACTCTGGAGATGTAAGCTCATAGTAGCAATTAACAGAAACAAGCTTGGATGCTGTTTCTGCCTACATGCAAATGAAACTCTGAAGAGACTTGGGAGCCAGGCTTGCTGAGGGATGGCTGACACTGACAGGCAGGTACCAACCCTATAATCAACCAATTAAATCATGTGAGTGCCTTCATGTCCTCAGCTTTAACCAGTCTCAGAGGTGAAAGGTGCAATCTTGCACTTCACTGCTGGAGCAAAAGGGGACATCTGAGCTAGAAAAAAAAAAGGCTTGAGCTGCCAATGATTAGAACAAGTCACACGTAACTGGATGCCTCCAGCACTTTGGAGAGAGAGTGCTGGAACCTTTTTCCCTGTGGAGCATCAGTTCAAATGCAGACCTTGCTCCAAGGAGTTAGGAAGCATTGGTTAAATCCCAGGGATTAAACTGTGTCTCTGCCAACTGGTGCCACTTGAGAGGAGAGCACAGTTCTGCACTGAGTGTTCTCCTCTGCCCAGAGCCACACTGATGGGGCACAGCTCCCACGAGGAATATCACAAGGATGCAAGCAGCACAACACAAGCCAAGCTGAGCTCATGTTGGCTTAAAATACCCAAAACAGGAGCAACCTGTGGCTAAGCAAGCAGGAGCAGAGTGGAGCCGAGCCGAGTTTCTTTGCCCATCTTGCAGCAAATTGATCCCAGAAAATTGGCTCATCACGCTTAGCTTTCATTGCTCATTTTTGCTGAGGCCTTTTTATGTTTCAGCTTCTGCATGTTGGACAAAAAGATGAAATCCAGAAGGAGCAGGGCCGCAGTGCCTGCTGGAGGGAGGTGGATCCAGACTGTGCTGCTGCAGCTGCACGGGAGCCCACGGCTTCCAGAGCAGCCTCTCCTCCCTGGCCGTGTCAGCAGGAAGGGAGGCTTTGGCACTGCTGAGAACACACAACCTTGAAGCGAAACACTGAAACTTTGTGTGACTAAGTGGATTTACCACAACCTCCGGCATCAGATAAATCTCCACCCCTGGCCCCCAGCCCTCCCCTGCTTCCCTTTCCCACACAGGCTCATGCAGTCTCGCTTCACTGGCCAGCCCCTGTCACTCGCCCTTGGGATTTACCTTCACTGCCACCAGCATTTTGTCGTTGGTGGGGCTGAGGTTGTAACACTCGGCCAAGAACACCTTCCCAAAGGCACCTTCTCCCAGCTCCCTCTTCAAAACGATGTCTCTCCTCTTAATATGCTGGACATCTGTTGGAGGGAGGGGAGGAAGAGGGAGAGGGTTGAGGGAAGAATGAATCAGGGTTAATTCAGTGAATGGAAAACAACTAATTCAATTTTCTTGCAAGCTGCAAGGGAACTGGAATTGCTTCGCAAAAATATCTGCAGGGATCTTTCTACCCACCCACAGAACGCAGCCATCTCTGTGATGGAGTTAGTCTCATGCAAAACATCTGTGAGGAAAGTACTTGAGCTTTATCAGCTCTCATGACAAGCTCGTGGCAAGCTTGTCCTCAGGGAGAGGAACCTTCAGGGCAAATTCTGCTACAAAGACATGAATCTCTTTCGAATGATCCTGGAAATAATCCATCTCCTGTGAGGTGTAGCAAAGGTCACATCCTTCCAGTGAAAGGCCAGGTGAGATTAGAAAGCCCTGTTGAGTTTTGCATTTCAACTGGGATTAGTTTAAGCTCTAACATGACAGATTTTTGAGGTTGAAGCTTGGCAAGTCTAAGCATTCCTGGGAGAAGGAGGACCAGTGACCCCCAAGGTTCTTAGGGCATCAGCAGGAGCAGGCTGGAAATGCTGAGTACTGCCCCACAGCAGGACCCTGACCCTGCAGCCTTCCCCTACATGACTGTTCCCTCAAAAAGGTCATCCCAGGATGCCATCACTGGCACAACAGATGAACTGAACCCATTAGTTTCAATGATCCTTTCCACTGACATTTAGGACAGTGAGGACTGACAGAGAACAGCAACCAAGGATTCAGGAAGAATCACAAGAGCAGTAGGTTTTAATTTGCCAGAGGTATAGAGGCCATTGAAAATTGGTTTGCTCAGCTAACAGGTGATTCCTAAAGATTAAATCTGCCCAGGTACCAGGCACCTACAGGGGCAGGTGACTATCAGATATCCACTGACTCTGTGTCATGATTAAATGTCACAGGCTGGTGGAAAAACTTGCTCTTTTCTGAGGACACTAAAGCTCAGCAAACCTCTAAGCACCTTTCTGGCATCACAGCACCTCTAGAACTCTTTAGCAATAAAAAAGGGGTTTTTTTAATGCTTGGAACAAAATGTGGAAGGAGTTAGAAATGCACAGCCACCACAGCACAGCACCCAAAACTTCATCTCTATGAACTGTCCTTCAGTAGAGCTTTCCATCAGCTTTGAGATCTGTGGCAGCACAGACCACTCCCAGCTTCAGCCTGATGGTCATGGCAGGCCAGTGGAGAGCTGAGCACTCTTCTCTAGTGCTCAGTGAGCAAAAGCTGATGTGTGAGACGTCTCCTCAAGCAGAGGCATTACATGGGACAGTGCCCTCTTTCCACTGCTGTGGGATGTTCATAACCCTGAATCTGTTTGCTCATAAATTGAACCACTTTTCTTTTCCATCTCTTCCTTGTGCCACGGGAGCTGTAAAGGTATGTGTCCCTTAGATTAGGTGCATTTCCTTGGGGCACTGCAGATGAAGGAGGTGGAAATGACTGACTCTGGGTTTCAGACTGGCTGCAGGGACACATCACAATCTGCCACCAGCTCCTGCCACCCAGGCACCCCAGCAGGCACCTGTATAAACCTGAGGGGTCACGTGCCCAACAACAACATAGGTACCACTTAATGCACAAAAAAATCCAATAGAAGACAAGCATTCTAATAGCCTTCATGCAATTAAGCTTTTTAATTAGGAGCTGAGAGGCAGGTTTATGGAGCTGCCATCTCTGGGTCCTTGGCTTGCTTGGGAAGATGGATGCTGTGAGATTGCACAAGCAATGGGCCTTGTAATGAAAGACACCTCTCTGGGGATTCCCATTGACCTTTCTTAATTGTTCAATAGGCTGAAAACTGTTTCTTACCAATATTAAAAATATTAGTAACATTAAGGCACAGGTTGGTAGGCACATCCAAAATGACTGGTTTTAAACCTGCAGTGGCAGCCAGGGAGAACAAATCACACGTGGACTTTGCCTTCTCCACCTGGCTTAGCTGAGTGTTTAAGGAGTACCTTGAGAAATCTGAGATAAAACGTGGTGAAATGTAAAGTGATGCACTTGGGTGAGGAAACTCCTCATATAAGAAAAGCTCAAATGGCACCAATTTATTTAACAGAGTAGAGGAAAAGGGGCTTATCCTCTTTGTCTTGGCAAACATTTCTATAGCACTCATCACTACATTACCTTGGTGTTACTGTATTGATAAACCTTGTATTTGCATTCTTGATGTCCCAAATAGCAGCAATCAAGAAAGCTGTGAGGAATGATCTTGTAGTAAGAGGAGCCCAAGCATATTTTTAAAAACTCAGAAATGTAGCAATTGCAATTGGATTGTCCCATTTGGTGTGAGATGAAGTTAAAAAGGAAACAGTCTCAGAAAAACCAGCAATACTATTTAAGAATTTTTACACTTCAGATGAGTAACACCATGAGAACTGAGGCAAACCTCTCTTTCTAAACTCTCCAGGGTCTTGCCCAAAACTTTCAGCTCCCAATTTTTCCTCCTACCATCTTAATAAATTATTAGACATTTCTGAGAGCTGGCATCCAAACTATGTAATTATGTCTACATTATTAAAATAATATCCCATCTGTCTTCGAGACCAGATTTTACAGCTAGTTGTTAAGAGTCACCTGAGCAGTTTCAGGGAAAATTTATATGAAGAATTAAGTGTGGTATTGTGGCAGACAGAATTGAATCGAGGGAGGAGCAATCCTTTTGCAGTAGTGGACTTGTGTAGCACTGTTGGATTTAAAGTTAACTTGGGTGGTTATAAAAATAAAAGAGTCATGAAGTTAAGTAGTTTGACAGTAACCAGACAATCTTAATGTTGAATCAGAAAAGTACATTTACTGATCACAATTTCTCTCAACCTCAAATAGCCATAAATTTTGTTTCATAGTATTTTAGGCACAAATGGAATAAGAAGTGAGTTATAATAAATGGCTTTTTCACATGCTAGAGGCCTAAAATAGTGAAGTTTAGATCAAATTCTTCCCTTCACGGCAAGATTATCACTATGATTAATTCTAACCCACTATAAAATACAGGCTTTATCCATAAAGCAGTGACAAACCCCTGTGGCACGATGTGGCTGGAGGTGGTGTTGTGCTCACCTTGCACCTCTGTGCTCGCCCATCCTGGGCTGTAACTCATGAGGAAGGCCAAATAGCCATGAAAGATGCTGTGCTGCAAGGGCACCTCCGAGGTTCATCTGCATAAATCTGTTTACCTCCTCCTGGAAGGAGCCAGCCCCGTCTGATAAACAGCTGGTGTTTATTTGTTTTAGGCAGGCAGTGCTGTGCTAATCTGTCTCGGCTGTGTTGCAGTCAGCCCTGTAGACAAGGTGCATGCAAACTGCCTCTCCCTAAGCACCACTCTTTCTATTTTTTCCTCCCCATGTACCATTAACTTATAAAAACAAGACAACAAGACAATTCATAAGAAGACCCTGTGTAGAAGCCACAGCAAGACCTGAAAAAAATAAGCAGAATTGACAGCATGATGTGAACTCATTCAAAGCCATGCTGTACCTACAAGGAAGGATGTGAGTGCCTGACACTGAAGTAATTCCACTTTACAATGAAACATCTTCCAGTCCTTGTTCGGGATCATGATGTTTCTTCATGATACACAAGAAAAGTTGGGCAGATTCCCCACCTTCCTTCTTGTCCATCAAGATTTAAGACACAGAGAAGGTGTTTCAAATTTTTGCCTCCACTGCTGCTCTGAATCACCCATTAACCACATCAGAAAGCACCTGACCTGCAGCTGGTTAGAAATTACTTTAGCTCAGTGATGGCAGCATGAGGACAAGTTACAGCATTATCAACAGTAAGTCTGGGACCCACTTTTACATATGGCTCCAAAGCAGAAAGTTTCCTTTTCTCTGGAAGAGCCAAAGCAGAAGGGTAGCAGCTTTGGATCTGCAAAGGGATCTTTACCTAATCACCTCTGAACCTTTTGCAGGACAGCTGACTTGATGCGTGCCTAAAGTGAATTTAGTCAGAAAAGTGTCTGTCTAAAACCAGAAACAACTTCTTCCCCATCACTTGCTCTCATGTATCCTTAGTCATGTCTGTTCCTCTCCTCGAGACAAACACCTTCTAGTTTGCTAAACTTGTGAACCCAACACAGCCATGGGATAGCAGAGAAGAAGAAGAGGGAACAGGATTAATTCTGCTTTTTTCTCATACATTAATCTACAATGCCCCAGTGGGTCACTTCTGGCCCTTGTGACAGAGCCAGGAAAAATCAGAACTTTTCCACTTACATCACTGGTTCAATGATTCTTTTCCCATCTTTTACTCTCATATTGCAGAGTCTCTCTATCTTATGGCAAGGTCAAAGGCAAAAAGACCCCAACTCAACCCCCAAATTCCAGGTAGAGCATATGGATCTGGTAATAGACTGTGTGCAATGAAAAAACCTTGTTTTGAATAACCACCACTTTTCAATCACATGAGCGGTTATCAGGAAGTTGTATGAGTACATTTCATGAATCTAATTTTCCAATTACTGTCTCATTTCTAAATCAGTCCTGGGCATCAGATGAAGAAGAGATGGGTTCAGTGACACTGCAAATTCTGCATTTCAAATTCCTATCACAACCAGCATCTTTAAAACCATGGTTTGCTAATACTCTTGAAACCTGGATGCACATGATTGTGTTTGGACACAGATGACTACAGTGGGAGGAAAATGGACAAATCAATCTCCAAACAGAGAAAACCATGGGCAGTGCCAGAACTTAAATTAGAGCAAACTGCAAAACTACTAATGCTGGATCCTTTACACCAGGTCAATATCAAGTGTTAAATTAATTAATTTCAATTAATTTCTCACATCACATCTTCTTTCAAACTCCCAAACAGCAAGCAGTCTGTCTTGTATTTCCAGTGGGTTTCCTGACCCTAGACTATTAATTCACAAACGACCTGTAGCTTGCTGGTGGAATAGAGCAAAATTATAGACATTTTCCCTTTTACTTTTGCTGCCCTCTTTATCAGAAGATTCCTCTTCTAGCCTAGAAAA